CTGCAATCTCCTCGAGCCCCCACTTCCATCTATGTTCTACTGGTTCCTCCTTGTTCTCGCTGCATACCACGACGGCACTCTTCTTCATGTTGACCGACAATCTCCACTTATCAGGAGGCTTCTTCGCCGCGTCAATATGCAGTTGCAGTCCCTCACGGGTGTCCGACATACCGACAAAATCATCCGCAAACAGCATTCCTGACACCGAAGTTTCCGTGTCCCCTATTTTCACTCCCTTCTGGACTGCCGCTACGACTTCCAACGGCTATTGACTCACAACGAACGACTGCCACTCGAGGAATAACGTGTGTAGATGATGTTTGGTGCTTTTCGTACGTAGCAGCCACGGCCTTCAATTGCTTCTGTGTGCGGTTCTGGGTGAGGTTCCTTGGATCCCTACGGCTCGGTATAATTGTGCCGAGTGTCGACTTGTGCACGCACCGCCCGCGTGGGGAATAAAGCCCGGGACAGCAGTAGCTGAAATCGACACACAGAAGATGATACACACACATTTTCGCGTACTGATGCGCCACTGCTAACGTAAAGGGCACCAAAAGGGTAGACGATAGGTAGTCTATGCGTTGGTACTGTACTGCTGTGTATAGGGTTGGTCTGTCTGAACACCAACCCTGTTAGTGCCAGCCTCGATTCTACATATGCAGACTATGAATGGGTTGAACTCAGAGGTTGAACTCCGAGGTTGTTGTTTGCCAGAACGTGTGGATCAGGGCCATACATGACGGAGGCCTCTATGCATCTTTTCCACTCTTGTTCAATACTTCGTATGTCTTACTTGGTTAAGCCTGTGACCACGATGACAATGCTTCTTGGGTGAGGCGGTACTGGGCTGAGGTCCAAATAACTTTGTTTTGAAGGCATCAACCTCACAATTATCTCTCACCAAATTCCAACCCACCAACTACCCCGCACTCCGTACGGTTCGAGAAATATATCTTTGCAGTTACTGTTCGTTGTTTCTATGTCATTTGAACACCTTCTATGTTGTCACTGGCTTACTCTCTTTCTATTGGGCATACTCCGCCGCCAGCTTCCATTTGAATGGATGGGGTAAATATTTTAACAATGTTTCCTTCACACTTGAAGCTGCCACTAACCTGTGCTTCGACCTTCGTCTGTTTGCGTTTGATATTTCGGTAGTGATACGGAAGACCGACAAGAAATAACCGCACATGTAGACGAAGTGCGAGCTGTCATCGGGCGGATGGGGCACACGTTGTACATGGCGCGCGTTCGTAGTGAACTTCGAGCGGCCATCAAAACCCAAGGTCAGAAGAGAATTGCTGCCGCCCTAGATTGCGAGCAGAAGATAAGCGACGGGCAAACCATAACCGGAGGACAGAAGGCTAATACAAGAGAAGCCAGTGGTTCTGAAACCCCAGAGGGAATGGAGAACGGCGAAGAGAGGAAGGTGAGTTTAGCGCACTCCTTTAGAGACAGGGGAGGCAAAGGGGCAGAGGGTAGCGTGGGGTGGGGGGGAGCACTCTCCCCCACGATCTGTTGGCCATGAGGTCTAGAGTTTACGGACGAGGATCGCATGCAATTTTGCAATGGAGGCACCAATCAGTCCCACAGCTTAGCCTACGCGTCGTGTGCAATTCTTTCGAGACATAACGAAAGTCGTCTGAGCACGGAACACTGGGTTAGAGCGCAGACACGAGCATTTCACCACCGTGTTTGGCATGGAGTTGAAAACGAGAGCGAGTTCAACCGCCTTGCATTTGATCGAAACCCGTTCGTATTCTGATCGATATCCATGCCGTTGGTGTTGCGTAGGTTCCTCCCTGGTTCGAATAGGGTTTCGGCAGGTTTTGATGAGCTTGCTATCGAATGACGAAGACACAAAGGGTAGCCTGCGGGGTCCGTGTGTCCGGCTCGTTTGCGAAGGAACAAGCCGCGAAGCCGATTTTCCCGTGTGATCGTACTGCCAAGCACTCATCTGCAGGGCCAAGTGAGATGATGACCCATTGGCTCCGTCGCACTCTACGAATCTGGTTGATGCCGACCCTGGGTTTGCTCGATGCGTATGTTCTGGCGGCTTAGGCTGCTGTTGGTCTTCGGTGTTGCCGTGATGAAGACCCTGACATAAAATCGCCGAGAGAGAGGTACCTCAGAAGGATGGCGGCCGTGTGCCTCCAGCGACACGCGAGGGGACGTCCTCAAAGGCGGGCGTTTCGAGAGCTTGTGCGGCCGGCGCTGCACATCTATGTCGCGCGAGGGCCGCCGCAGATGTGAGGGATCCAGCGAGTTATCCTTGAAGCTGTTGTAAAACAATTCGATGTTTTTCGTTGTCAGGCTCACCGAACCTTTGCCAAGAGGTTCTGCCGTCGATGCTTTTTTTCCATAACGCTTGCCCCAAGAGCACCGGGTCTAAACAGTAGTTCTGCTGCGGGGATGGGTGTCGGGTGAGAGATTGACCCAAAGAAGAGAATGGACAGGTGCTCCCGGCTTCTTCTGTCAGGGATACCCTCTCTTGCGGCGACGTGGGCCAATTCCTCTTTCTGCCGGGATGCGACAAGTGGCGTCTGCTTGTTGAGATTCATTACACGGTGTCGCCAAACGCGGAATGAGCTGCACGCATCCCTGTACCGTCTAGGAATTGATTTCCGCAAACTTGAACGCGGGCCAAGCGACTTAATCCAACCACCTTGCAAGTATCAGCTTCGTCTCATATTTTCAACCTATGCCTCCACGCTCGGTTACACTCAAAGTCGCCCCCCCGTTGCTAACCCTATACCAGATCTCCGTTCGGCATCGGAGATCGCCGGGCGATCCTCTTGGCCCGCTTTATGGCCATCCTGGACGCGTACAATGGCCTCAGGGATTTAGTGCCCACTCTATCAAGGTTGACTTGCCGCAGCAGAAAGGACCGTCCACGAAATCGTGCCGCAGCAAGCGCGCCACTCTTCGGCAGTGATGCCGATATGACATCGACCGATGTCGTCGTCGCTTTGCCTTCGTCATCTCATCCAGCCGCCAAAACCGAGGTTGTTGTTCAGAGGGCTATCGCCAGTGAAGATACCGAGCGGCCTGACCAGGGACCAGATTCCAGGGAGGGGGAAGATGGAGCTTCAGCAGTAGCACCAAACAGCGGGGAATGTACCCCCGACCGCACGGCGAAAGGAGGAACACAAGATACAAGAGGAAACAACAAGAGTAGCGAGGCTGCACATGCTGCCGAGCGGGAGATGACGATTGTGCTGTGGGCCTTGAGGGATGCCGCGGCGCGTGTGGTGCAGGAAGAGATGCGGTGTTTCGCTCGCAGAAAACGCTGGCTGCTGTTTCGGACTGGGCAGAGGCAGCGGGAACCAGGAGAAGGAGAACACGGGGATGAAGGGCGTTCGATGTCTACGGTTGGCGTTGAATCCCCTACGGGGACGGGCGTGGTTTACCGGCCGGAAGTGGCAGGAGGACTCCCGTGGGCGATTGCTGCCGGGGTGTCGCCGATAGCTCCCTCCTCTGCCTCCTTCTCCTCCTCCTCCGCGAGGGTAACGACCGGAAGAACGACGATGGCAGGGACATCATCAGCCACCGGCGGATCCACCGGGATAACCATGACGGCAGACACAAGAAGAAACCCCGCGACAAGGACAACGATGGGGGAAAACAAAAGAAAAAGTGCGGACGAGTCTTGGGCGTCGTCGTCCCCGACCCCGAACCGGTCTACCCACACCGCTTGTTTGACGGTTTCGAGCGTACGGAGCTCTCGGGCGACCCCAAGAACGACGACTGCGGCAGGGACACCAGCCTCCGGAGGATGCACCGGGAGAACCACGACAGCAGGAACAACAGGGAGCAGTTCCGCGACAAGAAGAACGAAGGACAGTGCATGTGGCGAAAGTCCGGAAACCTCGTCGTGTTTGGTGTCACCGACCACGAGCCGGTCTCCCCACACCGCTGGCTCGGCCGTTTCGACCCCGTGGACCTTCCAGCAGTCCACCAGAACAAGAACGCAAGGCATCAGCAAAGGTGACCCTGCGCCGGAACTGGCCTGGACCTGGGAGGAAGAGAGGGGAGAAGGCGAGCCACCTGACGAGGAACACACCTGGACCGATGCGAGACGGACGACTAGCAGGGCTGCACGATGGCCAAAATTGCCGTCTGAGGAGCGCAAGAAAAGGTGAGACGCCATTCGCCTCCGCCAGGCCAAACGCTAGTGTACTGGAGTTATGGACGTTCGGTTGCACCTGTAACAGTATGGACATTGTTGAACGCACTTCGCGTCGAGGGTAATCACTGTGTACTGCCGGCCTTTACCTAACGTATAATTTCGACGAGGACAACGACGTGCAAAAGTCGGAGCGGTTACAGGAGGACAACATCGCCGCTGAAAGGTTATTGGCCAAGCGATGATTCAACATGCTCCTTGCATAATCTCAGTTTCGAAGGAACTGTGAGTGCCAATGTTTGAAATATGAGAGCAATGTAGCAGGCAAACGTTCTACCTTTAGGAGCGGTGAAAATCGTGGAGGTAGAAGTATTTTTTGGCATTGGAAGTTCGAATATTGCAAGCATCATAAATGGGAAGGTTCGGATGGCACCATTCGTATCAGTAGCCGATCAGTCATATCAACTGTGAAAATGATCCTTTGTCATTACGACCAAATGCCAAAAGTGATGGATTCTTTCTGTGGCCTTCGCGCTGAAGTTGTGACTCTCGCTATTGCCTCTAGTGCTTTGCACGTTTGTTCAAGTGCCCATGGTGTTTGGTTTGCTATTTACAACGTTCCACATGCTCAAACAGGGAAAACGAAGCGCATTTGCGAAGGAACAAATCTCGCTTGGGCGTGACCCTGAGGGGCTTCGCGAACTTAGAGTGCCAGGGTAATTTCGTGCTACCGGAGATAATCAGGATGCAGGTGAATGAGCCACAGGAAGACCTGTCCTTGCATCCAAGCGGATTGCGCTTTCTTTCTCACTCGATCCTCTTTTGGATACCCACGAAAAAACACAATTTCCATCCGACGGTGGTAGAGCCGGAGTTAAAGTCGACGGAAAGTATCGAATGAAACGAGCTTTCCGCCCCCGCTTTGCCTACCCGTCATCCGAAGGGCCCGGCACCTACAATAGGTGGTTTCCCTTCCGTGATGAGTTGTCGTACCCCAACGTCCGTCGTTATTTTTCGTTGATTTTATTTCGGAGAAGAACCACGGTATCACCCATACGAACCAGATGTTTATCTTCCGTCGGTCGCGAGGTTCTATGCCCTGGCCGTGTAGGAATAGGACCGACACCCAGGATTAACACGAGGCTATTGTTCAAAGCCACCATCGCCTTTCCGAACAATTGTGGTCTAGAGCACTCCGCTCATGACGAGGTTTGCCGTCTCGATAAGAAGTATTGAGCCTTTCTATATGCCCAGAACGACGTCTTCAACCTGCGGAGAGTTCACTATCACATCTCCGTTCAACCTTTGAAAAGTGGCGACACTCACCGCGTTTATTATCGTGTTGCCCCAGCAACACGTTTGTCGTGTTCAATCCCAACAACCCCACCCCAATTTCGTCTCTCCAATGTTTACAAAAAACATCCACTATCCTACTCGAGTGATCTTTAGTGCAAGAAAGATCGACACAACATCGGCCACATATGACCTCCTCGTTCGAGTCTTGTACTCGGAAGACGAGACAGGTGCTTGCCAAAAGGCCCGAAACCGAGCCTGACCTAGAACTAACCCCAAACTCGCCGCAACTCTGTCCTTCTACTCTCGGCCGGAACCCCCTCCCCAAGCCGGGTCGAGGGTGGCACCATGTCAACACCGAGCGAGCATACGGCCCCTTATGAGGGCCTGAAACTCCTCGACAGCGCAATCCGTCCTAAGCCCTCCACCTCATATCCCCGGCACGAACGAACGCCGATCCGTGCCCCAACCGAATTCCTCATCTAGCCCCCGCCCGCGCTCCTATCCCGCTTCGTCACCATCGCCTGGGCAGCGCCTCTTCCGCGCCCGAAGGACAAGGCGGATATTCGAACGGGGCCAGGCACATCGAGAAGCGCACCAGGCCGAGTGGAAAGCCAAAACGGCCAGAGATCGGCAGCAACGGGAAGCCAGGTGTGCGTTGGTGGTGGACCGTGACGACCACTTCATTTCACTCTTGCCCCTGACACAATTTTCACGCAGTCGCTGACTCTAGGTGCTGAGGGACGTTTCGTACTGTTCGGCACGCCAGAGTGTTGCAGGGGCCGTAAGGGGTTAAAGGTTTAGGGTATGCATGGGTGGCGCAAACCATCCGGTTCTACCCTGCTCTATTCGCGCTTGGTTGAATCCACCAACGTGCCAAGTCTCGTTTCGGTAGGGGTGCTCGGGACTTGTGGGTGTACGCCAACGTGAGTCATGACGAGTAACACCCCCTCATCTCATTTCCCAACTATTCCAAATTGCACGAAGGTGGAAGTCTGCGATGTCTCGATTGAAATTCGAGCACCCGCCAAACCAAATGAAGCAACTTGAAGATGTCGCCAGACTCGTAGCGCGGGTGGAAAGCGGTAGCTCAAACGCAGACGACGGCGGCGTAGCGCACCGCGCAGTGTTCGCTGAACTCACTGGAAAGGCGAGTCCGTCCTTGGGTTAGTTATAATATCGTACGTGATGTTGGTTGGCGTTGAGTGTCATCCGCGAAAGTACATGGGAAAACACCCCTTACGATTCCGTTCAACCGAGTGTTGATCGGTAGATAGTCTTGGCCAGCGGAGGGTTTCCGGGTACCGCGTCCATGAGCAAGCTACTCGTTATGCAGGAAGTAATCTAACAACCCGAAGATGCTGTCTGTTCTATCGGAGAAATATGGCTGTGATAAAAAATTTCCTTGACGAGGGGAAGGGACGAGGGAACTGACGGCTGAACTGTTGTCGCAAGAAACTCCTGGCTTTGCGGGAAGGGAAGAAATGAAATTCATCGAGATACGAATACTCTTGTTTGCGAAGATAGCAGTGACAACGACAACGCCTCCATGTTGAACTCATCGAGACGTTGGACCTGCGAGAAAGAACGAAATGGTATGGGGTTCTTGAGGCACAGCTATATCTGATCCTTGACGACGTCCGCGTCCTTCTGTACATACATCAGCTGCCTTCGGTATGTGCCACACATTGGGGTTTTGGGACCCCGGTACGGACCTGCTGGGAGGGCCGAAAATAATCCGAAGCGTTCGAGGGTCCGCATAGTCACTTGCATCGTGCAGAATAGGCAATATTTAGGTCTTTAGTCATCTGAGGTTGAGGTGAAAATATGCCGCGTTCTGTTTACTTGGGGGCACGATGCGCCTTACGCAAACACGAGTTGGAGCTTGGCCGTGGCGTACGACCTGAGGTTGAGGTGAAAATATGCCGCGTTCTGTTTACTTGAGGGCAGGATGCGCCTTACGCAAACGCAAGTTGGAGCTTGGCCGTGGCGTACGACGTGGGCTCGTGGCGAGGGGGTCTCCGGCAGAGGTACTACTTCGGTCGCTTGGTCCGTTTTCTCGCTCACCGCCGGAGCCGAAAAGGTGCTCTCCGGGAACGCGTGACAGCCCGGATGGCCAAGAGGTTAGCGAAGGGCAACACACACACACACACACACACACACAACCGGGGTAGCCCAATACTCTCTCTCAACGGTAATAATTCTCGACTGAATCGAGACTGAACGCCCAACTGACAGTGGCATTGCAGTCCCGTGGCCTCGCCGTCCGGTGAATTCACCGCAGAACGGGAAATAGGTGGAAGAATACACATGGCGAAACCTCCCCAAGCGTGGCCAGCTACATGTAGTTTGGAAAGTTGTCATCACCCTTTATCGATGATTCATACTCTCCACGGCGATTTATTCTCTGTAGCCGGGACACCCGCTTGTGTCTCCAAGAGCGAGGGTGAAACTCCGAATGGCGAAGACCGTGAGAAGTTGCATCGAATCCATTCCGTGGTCAAACAAGCGCGAACAAACCGGAAAACACTCATGCTGCTCCCGACATCGGCGGCCTCTCTCTCTCTCTTTCAAATTTTACCTTTACTCCCCAAGATTCGTCCGGCGTGTCCCCCCCGTATGCAGGCTCCAAGCATGGGCTACTGTTCTCGCCGAGGAGAAGCGCTCTCTGATTTGCGAAATGAAAGCCCGCGCTCATGCGGAGATCGTCGGTGCTCACCTACGCTTCCTCTCGAGAACCGGAACGTGGGAGCGCCTGCTGCTCGACCTCAACCAAATCCTTCAAACCGCCATGTCTCAGCGGGAACAAGCGATTGGCCTGCTTTCGGAGCAAGTCGCTCCGGAAACGCGCGGTGCATCTGGGCAAGGCCGAACAGCTCACTGTGAGTCGGTGCGAGTAGACGCCAAGCGTGAATGGGCTCGACGTTGAAGTGGGTCTCTTTGTCGTTGCATAGCTGGTTACGCTTGCGTGAGACCCCGCTGTAATGAAAAGGTGACCATTTCTACGCTATCGTGGAAATTCCGGCGTGTCTCCAACTCCCGGTGCACATCGTCTGTATCCCCAAGGATCCTCGTACCGCGCCTGAGTGCAATACAAAACGAAAATAGACTCAATGTTACACCTTCTACATGAATGTTTTCTTTGCGGATACTTCGCTTTTGGCGAAATCACGCCATGAACTTGTGAGTTTTTTCAGGATTGCGCTGGGTCCTTGGACTTGAATTTTCATGCAATGCCAACAACCCTCTCCCCTTTCCCATTCGCGTGGGCTCCGTCCTTCCCCACTCGCTTCTGGTTGTAATGCGCCTTATGTCGGGAGCATCAGCGGCGAGAACACCGACGGACTCACCCCATCGCTTCCTGAGGGCCCGAGTTGGTTCCTCCTACAACAACCACCAAAGAACGTCTTCCACACACACCAGCAGCATACAGGGAGGGTCGCCTGACACGTGGGCTGACGGCAGCTTCCCGGTAGCTTGCGGAGAATATTCAGCGGAGAAATCGGGAAGAAAAGCGGGGGGGTCGCCCGGCCACCCCGCCACCAGGGAAAACGTAGCGGGAAGTCGGCACAACAGTCGTAGGGCCAGATTGACAGCCGAGTTTAGGCGTAGGGCGGGCTTGACGGAAATTGTGGATGAGCGGATCCTACGGTGCTTGCATCCCTGGATTGTCACTCTGCTGGCGAGGTCTGGTGTCCAGTTTGTGCCGTCCGTGCCGCACAAGCACAGGTAAGGGTTGGGTGTTTCACAGTTCGTCTCCGTGAAAAGCAAAGATCGCAGTGTGTAGATTCCGTGGGAGCTTCTAGCTTTCTGCCCGGGGTATTTCGTGCTGCGACGTGCGGAGTTGATTTCAGCTGTCCACCGTCACCTTCACGCCGCAATGTGACGCGAAAGTGTAGTGCTCCGCTTCGTACCTTCCATGCTTGACGAAACGGTAGCGCGATTCGAGTGCAACACACAAAATTCCTCTGCATCGTGTCGGCTTCATCCTGCGGCCCATTCTCCCACGTTGACCCCAGTGTCCCGGTCGTTCTTGCCGTGGTTGATTGTCGCACGCTACTTGAACATCATGCCAAACGTTGGGGCAAGGATTGGCTTTTGCATCGATGACACAAGCAAGGTGGAGGCGCTTGCGGAGACGCAGCTGACGAGACGTTACTGGAGGTTGCTGGAAGGCGTGTCGGACGCCGTCTTGCTTGTAGGTGCGGCCAAGATCGAGGCGGCCACACTAGCGGTAGGTTGTTGTTGTTGTTGTTGTTGTTGTTGTTGTTGTTGTTGTTGTTGATTATCCTCGATTAATGTCGTTCATATCGATGGTTCAAACCTCAACAGTAACAGTTATTCATCTTGCCCCGACTTGCGCCTGAGCCTGAACATGTGCAGCTGAAACCGGTAGATATTGGGGAGTCTTGGATGACAGATAGCGTGCCCGTGTTGTCCCGACCCACAGTAGACACAACGACAAGATGACCATTCCAGTTCATGAAAGGCCACTGTGTGGGGGATGGTGTCTCGTAGCAGCACAACAGCCGGGCCGCGGCTATTGGGTTAGCGCAAACAGACCCAGCCTATCAAACGGCTATTGACACGGCAGGCGGAGGCGGGGGAGTGGCTTCTCCTTCTGGGATTTGCGCACCACCTCGTGTCCGATGGGCACGTTGGCCTTCCCTGTACTCTTCCCGCGCTGCCTCGGAAGAGCAGCATCAAAGGGCCTACCAGCAGCATCAAGGTGGTGGGCGTGATGTCAAAACAGGCCAATTATTTCCTCGGCCCGGTCCGACGAAAACGGGTAGAATATGCGCCTAGGTTGGAAGGGGATGCCCCTGCCGCCCAGTGTCAGCAACAAGGACCGGTGGCAAAAGAACAACACGGTCAGCACCACCAACCCAGCGCCCGCCTCTACGCTACAGGACCTACGCATCAGGGGGGGCAAGGTCAAGCAACGTCGGCGCCCAAATGGTTTTCGGCGCACAAGAGCCTGTGCGAGACTTGCTGGGCCCTGCGAACCGGTGCCAGCGGTGCCGGGGGCTCGAAGTGCCAGAGGTGTGGCAGGACACACGTACGAGGGTTTTCCCACGAGAGTTCGAAGCGAGGTGGTGACGTCACCGCGGATCCTGTCCCCTTGCAGCAGTTCAGCCAGGTTCGCTGCCGTCGAAAACACCACTTCGTTTTCGTGGAAACCAGTCTCTTAGCTGCGGCTCGCCATGCGGTGTATGTTCCGTGCGAATGCTCCTAGCACCACCCCGAGTGATAACAACCTGTTCGCACTGCTACACGTTCCCTCATCCGCCCACTACTAACTAGGAGGACGGACAACTTCGTTTCCACCGGCGGCACTTGCTTACACGCAACGGCTGCTTGCAGAAGGACACCCCTTCAGGACGAGACCCTCCAACGCTCTTCCACGCTGACCTCCTTTCCACCGTGCTTTTGACAATTGCGCTTCGCCACGACAACATAGGTAAAAGAGTCCCTGGACTTGTTCATCGTCCACGCGGCCTACGCGTGCGTGCTGCACCCGGGCCCCGCAAACAATGCAACGGTCGCTGGCGGCCTCGGCGGGGGCCTTGGTTGGTGGAACGGTGGAGATACCGAGCAGGTGGGTCAGGGCAACAGCAATAAAGGGAAATCAACGCCTTGCTTAAAAAATCATCCTCCCAACACAGTACTCACCAACATCCACTATGTATTTGATTTGCAGGAATGGGTCAAAAACACGTGAAATATCAGTTATGAGAAGTTGCAAGCCCGGTTCCGGTGAAGTGCATCTCATACAGCATGCACCGTCAGTCCCTTCCCACCTGTGTCGACACGTGGGGCACTACCCCGACGATATTATCCGCGCGGCATCACGTATTGTATGTCCCGGCTTGATTGACAACGTCTAACCCCTCGCACCGAGTGATGGTCGCCTCCAAAATGCCACACCAAAAGTTATCCGAAAGCTCACAGTAGTTCATCGCCTATATTTGATCATCGGACTTGAGTGAAGCCTCGGTTGAAAGGCATGAGGCCGGCGATTTCTCTGGTGTGGATGCCCTCGCGCCCCGACGCGTTGTCTAACCATTCCTTCCCCTCTTGAACGTTCTCGAGCAGGCTTGGTGGAGAGCAGTGTGCCGCGGGAAAGGAGCGGCCAAGCGTTTGCGTGACGACGGCTGCGACACGGTAGGAAAGCTCTATACGTACGTCCGAGGCTCAGCAGTCGGATCGTCCTCCTCCTTGGCGGGGTGTGGTGACGGTTCTCCCCCGAAACAAGCCATATTCCGCACGAAGAAGCTGCGGAGGCTAATAAACGACGGGGATCTAGCCACGAAGATAGCATCGCTGCTGCGGCGTCTGATGTCCGCCCTCGAAGAGCTGCGGGTGAGGGCCGGGCTCTATTTGGTCGTGAGGTTCATCCGCAAGGCGGTGGGAACACCGCAGGAAGAACAAGGTTGCAGCAAAACAATTAGATGGCGGTTCAACCGGGGGACGAGCCCATGCGGCATGATGCTAATAGGGCAACGAGTTGCTAGGGCATCGAAAAATGCAATGCGCTCGTTCGGGCAAACCATCCCGTTTGTGTACACGTTGACCACGTTTGCTTCTCTCTCTCGCGTGGTGATGGACGCGACAAAGATCATCATTGGTAGCCCGACAGTCATGAACGATACAGTCTCAGGTCTGTTCCAAGTTCGCTCCCAACAGTGCTCACCTGAGACAGCAACATTTCTGTTTTACCCATGTACTAGGTTTCGTAACAAAAGACTTATATCAGTACCTCAGTATCATCGCTTGCGGCACTCGGGCCGTTTGGCACTCTCGATAACCTCTCGTGTGAATCTCATTTGCAGAAACATCACCGTTGGCCGACGGTATCCAAAGCAGCTATCGACCGCACCATGCGACCATTGGAGCTTCCTCATATGGCCGGCACGGCACCAGCTTCAGGTGAGAAGCCCCACAGGATGCCAAGGCCATAGCCCATCGGAAACGTCCGGTGTGTCTGTTGTACAATGGCTACCTCTTTGTATGCGTCACATGTCCAAGGGAGCGTCGCGTGCGGTACCCTTTCCCTTTCCTCTACTTTGTGCTCTCACAAGCCACCATACTCATGACCTTGTAGTTTCTGTTTGTTTGTGCAGCAGAGGAAACTCCCACGCAAGTTGTGCCCAAAATATCGCGGCGATTCCCTAGCCCACCGCACATCAGGAACATACAGGCCTGTTCGATCGTCGAGCACTATCGGGTAAGGGTGTCGTTGATATTTCGAATTGGAGTTGGTAGCAAAACTGTATCCGTCTCACGGTATCCGTCTCTATAGCCTCCCTCATCGGCAATTTCTCCCGCCCGTTCCTCGCTGACCCGTTCCTCTCCCCCTTCAACCAATTTCTTGTTGCACATGATGGATTTCGACAGGTTCAGCCAAAGTATCCTCTAAAGGTATTCGGACCTCAAGAGAAGGCTTGATACGTTGAATGGTCTATCCCAAGGCGTCGCGTGCCGCGCCGATAGAGATCGGCCGGAAAGGCGCGAAAGAAGTGTGGAAGTTTCTGAAAACGCACGTGAAAAGGGGTCGGGGGGAAGAGAAGATGACCGGTGCCAGATTGGTGACATTGAGAAATATGGTAGAGGATAGGTTGTTCAACCCCTTGAAGAGCAACGGCTTGATGCGCTGGAGGGATGATGTTTTCACAAGCGCGCATTTCTCAACAAACAATTTCACTCCCTGGATTTGATACTTTTTTCGAGCCAGCAACTGCAGACGACCGAAAGTGGCTCTCAACAATCGCATTTGGCGTGGAGCGTTCCTAGCAACTTTAACTGCTACCTTGTCAAGCTTGCTACCAAGAATCTGTGCGTGTGGTTTCGTGTATTGATTCACCGCAAGTGTGCTTGACATCCTCTCCGGAGACCGAGACAATGGCGAGCGTGCCGATTGTTGGACACGGGGCCATCCGGAAGATGTCGCCGACGTGGTACGTAAGGGTTTCATGTTGGCACGACCCTCGGATGTCGAGATATCGTGTGGGAAACTTCGCTCTCGCAACTGTTCACGTTTGGGGGTTCACGATGATCGGCCGAGTTGTTCGTCGACACAAAAGCCTGGTTCGAAATCGTACGAGCCTTGAGTGTTGGTTTATGCTCTGCAGTTCAGAGTTTGTTGTGAAACTTCGCTGTATGTGACTCTTCACTTCGGAGGGGCGGACTTCAACAGCGCTGTGTTGACCTCACATGGAAGTCTGAGGCGCTGCGCCCCGTCTTGGATTTTCGGGAATTCTGATCGGAGCGTTTGCGAGAGACAATTTCAACTCGACTCTCAACCAGCATGGAACGCACGTAAAAAAAAACTGTTGAAATCACTCTTTCTCGAACTCAAGACTCTTCTTCAGCTTACGACCAAGGTTCAAGCCAACTGGCAACAGGACGATGCTCATCATCGAAATAGATAATTTCATAATAGCCACCCTGTCTTCGAGTACGCGTGAGTGCGGGCAGTCCCTGTTCATGCGTGTGAATATTCACCGTACACGTCACAGCTGTTTCTTGAACTCAGGGACAAGATCTCCTCTTCTGGTTTGCGAATACCGTCGACTACCGGGGGGGAAGTCACCTTCGTGGAGGCAAGAACACCTATGGAATATCCCTCTCTCTTTCACTCTTATGTACTGCTGGGACGACAAACGTTGTAGCTGGCCACCCTTCGGGTGGTTTCGTGCTGGTCGAAACGGCACACGATCTCACCACTATTGTCTTTGGACTATTTCTCACCTTGTTTTTGCTTCAGAGGCTGCACGTAGTATTCAACCAGAACTCTCGCCCAGTATCCCACCAAAGAACTCTTAATGTGGTCGGGTGGACAGAGAATCCTTTGACTTTCACAAAATGTAGCTGTGAGAATTGAGTGCATTCGACGTGGGTTCATTCCAGTGGTTCACGCGTTCCATCGTAACAGCATAGCATAGCAGCCAAAATCTAGCTATTCAGTGTGATTTGGCATACATTAGGTAGTCCTAGGTTCGAATCCCAGCATGTATGAAGGAATGAATGCACTGATTGTGTAATGGTGAAGTTTCAGCATATTGTAAATACTGTCCTGGTGTATTCGATGCATATTGTTGCTTGCAGCAAGTGGTGAATTGAATATCTTCGCCGTGTGCTTCTAGCAGCTAATGCACGAATGGGTTCATTCAGGGCCTCTACGCCAGATCTCGTAATGAAACGCCGTGAATGCGATTTTCGTTTTCGTCTTTTTCGAGGACAGGTTTCATTACTATCAGCTCATCCAAAACTATGCACTCCATGTTTTCATATTCCTTTGACGGAATGAGGAGCAACATTTATTTGCTGTAGTAAAGGCAGCATGGCGGAAGTGAGTACCTCTATTATGTAAAATTTAGTGAAAATTGATGGTAGGCGATCGGCTTCCTGGGTGTAGCCTCGATGTCAGAACTCAGTTCCTCTATGCCGGATCCCATAACGAGGGCCGTGACTATGATAGTCACATCCGCGTTTGAACAAGGGTTTTTCCCCATGTGCTGGATAGCATTCACTTAATTTTTCGTTCTCCTGTGATTGTCACTTCCGCGTTTGACCCAGGGTTTCATCTCCATGTGCCGGATGGCATTCACTCAATGCTTTGTACTCCGATGACGGAATGATGGCTAAAGTAGACCAGTAGTGAAGGCTGTCGAATTCAGGGCCACAACGGAAGATGTCATGAAGGAGTGTCGTCAAAGATTGCAGTGCTTGGCGTCTTCGACTGCCGATTTCATGTCAGTGTTACGGTATTCACTCCATTTTTTCCTCCCGGATATTGCGTTATGACGGTCAACCTCGTGGTGCCAGTGGGATTCATTCCACAATTATTTTCCTGAGTGCATCTTGTAGTTGTGTTCATCGGGAGTGGGGGTGCAGTCAAGACAATATTCCCGTGATCGTGGTGAAGCAAGCATCGGCGAAGAACGGTGAGCGAGGACGGAGATGCTGGGCAAGTATCTCGACTGGGTTGTGGGCGAGCCGAATATATTTTTTGACCTATTGTAGTGAGCAAGTACCACGAGGAACATGTCACATAGTACCATGTTGGCAGGCGCCGCGCAGAAACGATCCTGAACTTCGGGGTTCAGTCGAAGGTGGTCGGAAATGACGCCACGCCTATTGTAGAATGGCACGTGCATCTAAACGAAAGGGATTGCCGGGAACCTAAAAAGGCGCAGGCAAAGAAAAATCGAGTCGTATCTAGACCACATGCGGCAACCAAACATCCTGCAGTTCCTCAACCGGGCGCTGGACACCTGTCTATCGAAATCTTGCCTTCGGAAGCGGCGAGGTGCAGCAGAATTGAAGCACCTTTGGATACCTTTCTCTTCGGGACCCCGGAGAACCGAAGCATCCAACCAAAACACCTTTAAGACGCCAAATCTGCCTAAAGTAGATCCATCCGTGGCCTTTTATTGTGTATACTACAGTTACATTATACCAAACGCAAGTTTTTCGCTCTATTCTACTGTACGAACAAACTTTTCCAAATACATGGAACCGGCTTATTATCTAAAATTTCAGAAATGTGTGTCGTGGGAACCCATTGCTTTCGGGGGCGAAATACCTTTAGTCAAAGACGGTCATAGCTGGATCCTTGCGAAACTCAAAATGCGTACGTAAAGGGTTTCGGCGGCTTCCGCCGCCACGCTCAAGAGAAGCGATTCCAAGGTAAATTTTTTGGTTTTCGTGCATAAGGCACGACTGACCGTGGGCATGGAGGAGATGATGTTTGTGAGTAATATGCTTTTTTTCAGGGTAGTGGTCGGTACCACTTTTTTGGGCGGTACAAGTTTAGGCGGTTCCGCAACATGGCGGGAATATTTATGCGGTAGGCGGGATCTCGTTTTACGGCGGTACCGCCTTCGGCGGTTCCCGGTACCACCTAAATACGGCGGTAATTTCCAGGCGGTTTGCAATTTGCCGGGAACGCTTTCGGCGGTTCCCGGTTCTGCCAAAATACGGCGGTACACCGCCGGCGGTAGTAAATTACCAGGGCGGGACCGCCTTCGGCGGTACCGGTACCAACCTAATACAACGCCTTTACAAAAAAAACGGTTCTGGTACACCGACGTTTTCCTACATTTCCATTTCTTCTAAACAATCGGAACGAACGGCTCATTCTTTGTCTTTTGAGTCCTGACGATGTGACCGCCGTTATATATGCACATGTGCGTGCACACAGATGTTCGATGAAAATTTCAATTCAAAGCAAGACCTCATAGACATATAGATACTGGAGAAAGACCTCATACGGCCGTTTTAAACGGACCGACTTTTTTGTCCAAATTTTCGACATTTGTCTTTCAAAAACTTGGAAACATGTAGACTATAGAACACAAAAATAGAAAATACAAAAATACGAAAATAGTTTGGAAGACAACACCACGGCACACACCCAAAATGCTACGTGTGTCGTGGCTCCTGGCATACACGTTGCAGACTGCTGTCCCTCTCCTCACGCACGCCCTACTCTACACACACACACGCCCAGCACGTTGATAGTGGATAGACAGACGTACAGCAGCAGCAGGGATAGAAGAAGAGATACAAGAGACACCAGGGGTAGGATGGAGAGCAGGCGGGGCAACGACGAAAAATCATTTTAACAGGCATGCCGATCGTTTGGACATCCATCTGCGTAGGGCCCGCCACCAGCAACGCCTGCCCGTTTTACTTGTGGACCTGTCGGCACGCTCTCTCTTGATATATGTGCGGGTCTGTTGTGGCTCTGCCGGTATCCTCTCTCTCTCGATACGTGTGCCGACGGTCTATCCACCTAATTTTTCGGTCGCATGTCCTGCTGTTTTGACCCTTCCAACAGCCGCGCCGCATGTATCTGTAGAAGCAAGTGTTCCGTGCTCCCTCCCACAACAACAGCACACGCGAGCACGCCTTTGACCTGTATGTAGCTGACCTCCCACACAGCACGCGCCGAAGG